TAACCAATGGACATAAGACACTGGGGGATAGGGGAGGCTAGGGGACTGTCTAGGGCGGGGGGGGGAAAATGGACACATATGTAATACCCTTTGTAATAAAAAATTAAAAAAAAAAAAAGAGAATTTAATTTGGGAGTGAGACTGTCCTGGGTTCAAGTACAGGCACAATATTTTACTATTTGGTTATTTAGGGAAGGCCACTTAACTTTCCTAGGCTCCCTTTTTTTCCAAAGTAAAAATGATTCAGGATTATCTATCTCAGTGTTAATTTGAAGGTAAAATGAGAACAATTTATTGGTATCAATACATAAATAAATGCTGACTGAGCTCTCTCCACTTTACATCTTTTTGTGTGTGTGTTTTTTAATCCTCCCCTGAGGATATTTTTTTCCATTGATTTTTAAAGAGTGTGGAAGGAGGAAGGGGGAGGGAGAGAGGATGGAAGGGAGGGACGGACAGGAAGAGAGGGAGGCAGGGAGGAAGAGAGGAAAAGGGAGGTAGATTGAGTTTTAGATAGAGGGGAATGGGAGAGAGAGAGACATCCATGTGAGAGAGGCACATTGATTGATTGCCTGCAACTGAGGTACCCCGGCCAGGGCTACTTTACATCTTTCTATAGCCTCCCTTCCTGTGGTGAACTGACTTCTTAAGGTTATCTACAGGAGGTTGGCTCTGTCAGTTCTGAAACTGATGCCAAAGAAAAGTCTGTGGTATAGTGGGGAGCTCCACACCTGGGAACCAGAAGACTTGGTGTTAAGTCCTGGATGTCACTGTCTGTGACCATGGAACCTCTTAACCCTTAGTTTCTATAAAATGGCTCAGTGGTTGAGCATCGACCTATGAACCAGGAGGTTATGGTTCGATTCCCGGTCAGATCACATGCCCGGGTTGTGGGTTTGATCCACAGTGTGGGGCATGCAGGAAGCATGCAGATCGATGATTCTCTCTCTCCCTCTTCCTTTCCCTCTGAAATCAACACAAACATATCTTTAAAACAAAAATTAAAAAAAGGGGACACCATCTACCAGAGTTGTTTTGAATTTTAAATAAGTTAATGAATATAAGTGCTTTAGCATAGACTAAGTGCTTAATAAATGTTGGTTTATTATTATTCTTCTTCTCAGCATAACTGGAAAGCACAATTGAAAACGATAGCAGTCCTTTCCAAACTTCAGCATTCTCATTTCATGGTTATTATTTTTATCTTATTTACCTAGCACTTGTACTATTAAAAACTTAATATTTTTTACGCATCAACTCTTCTACTTATATAAGTTTTAAAAGAAATCTTTAAATTACCAGCAAATGCAAAACCAGTATTACCTGCCACAAATAGGAAGTAACTGTTAAAAATAAATACAATAAAAACAAAACACAATGATTAAATTTTAGCTGCATACTGTTGCCTGTTGAAAGTCTTGAGCCTGAAGCTTGCTCTTTGTTAAGAAGGGAGATTAAGCCCTAGCCGGTTTGGCTCAGTGGATAGAGTGTCGGCCTGCGGACGAAGGGTCCCAGATTTGATTCCGGACAAGGGCACATGCCTGGGTTTTGGGCTCCATCCCCAGTGTGGGGCGTGCAGGAGGCAGCCGATCGATGATTCTCTCTCATCATTGATGTTTCTATCTCTCTATCCCTCTCCCTTCCTCTCTGAAATCAATAAAAAAATATTTTTAAAAAATGGTTAAAAAAACGGGAGATTAATAAGTGCAAGTGTTAAAGACATACTAACATTTACCTAAGGTAAACTCTGAAAATAGTTGTAACGACTGACTGAAAATGTTTACTTTAATATGGAGGGGCACACGTCTAGATACCACCTAACATCATCTCAAGTGACCTCTCTCTACAAATATTGTAATGAAGCACAGGAGGAAGAATTTGCCCTCACTCCAGCAGGGGAAATGATAATCACCATCCCTCACATCTCTGTAGTTTTGTTTGCCAAGCTCTTGGGTAGTTGGTACCTCAGCTAACCACCACTGTAGTTCAGTAAATCGAGTATAATCACACCTACCTTACTTATAGTTCATAGATAAGGCTGGCGACTAGCCTAACAATACTAATAGCAACATCACTTTTGAACACTTGATTCGTCCCAGCTAAAGGCTTTATAGACATGATCTAAAATTTAATCCCCGCCCCTGCTCTAGGAGGCATATCCTGTTAGCATCCACATTTGACAGATGACGAAAGGTAAACACAGAAAGTAACTCAGCCCAGGGGGTCACCCCGCCAGCGGGAGCGCGATGTGGAAATCGGGGTAAACGGACAGAACCCCCGCACTTTCTTGCTCAAGGTCACGGGGGAGTGAGGTCGCCGGGTCCGGAGGGCGCTGACCTGTCGGAGACTTGTTCCTGGGTGAGCTTTTTGTCGCTCTGCAGCAGGATGGACACGTAGTGGCGGATCATGCCCACGAAGAAGGTGATGATCACGATGGGCAGGACCACCCAGAGGCGGATGTTGGAGTCGAGCAGCAGCTCCGGTCCCGCCATCTTCACACAGCTCCAGCTCCCGACCCGGTGTCGCTGGGTTTCTCCTCCCACCACGGGCGCCGGGCTCCCACTTCGAGCTCGCCTCCGAGCCTTCTCACGCCCTCAGCCTGGCTGGCGCGGGATCCCACTGCAGGTTCGGCCCCGGCGTACTGACCCTCGCCGGGCCGCGCGGCCGCCCACTTCCGGCGCGGAAACCTGAAGTCACGGCGCGGCGCGGCGCGGCGCGGCGCACGTCGGTGACGCCAAGGGCGCGTCGCTCCGCGCGGGAAAGTCTTAAACTAGAGGCGGCGCCGGCCAGTCGGCGGGTGTTTGGAGCTGCGTTCGTCGTTTCTCGAGGCTTCGCTCGCCTGCGGCCTGGCCTGTAGGCCCCGGCCAAGGTCGGCCTTTCCCTGCGGCGTTCCGCGCCCTATCTCGGCTTCCTCACCCTCCCTGTCGTGGGATAGACCCTCAGGTACCTCCCTGCGTCGTTAAAATGACAAAATGAGAAGAACTTTTATCCCCAACTCGAATGGCCTAGGCCCGGCAGCCGGTCCCATCTTCCCATCGTCTAGGCTTCTCTGTAAACCAGGAGGGGGAAT